AGCTATTTAAACAGCTGATCGGCAGTTCGCAAAGCGGCTTCCTTATGGCCGATCTTCGCTAGACAACGACGATTCTTCCCCATTGCAACGCATTAAACAGGTTTCAATGCATTCCAATGGGGAAACGCTTTTCGCTAGACAATTATTTCGCTAAACAGCTATTTCAGTGGAACGGATTATCATTGTCTAGCAAGGCACCACTGTATTTCTATGAAAAGCTTAGTATACTTGGCAGGACGGGTGAGTTAGGGACAATGGTCAATGCTATGACACTCTACTAAAACTATTCCAGACTTTAAATTGAAGAGGAAAAAAAAAACCCTAATACGTTCATTTTAAGAAAGGTAACTTGTTACCTGCATTTAGGGGAAAAAACTAAATTACTAAAAAAAAATTACTAAAACTCAACAAAGCCTGGCTCCCAGCACTGAAAATTACAGCCTGCAAAAAGGTCAACAAATTCTACCCAGCCACAAGGTCAGGTGATCACTGCACACAATAGACTAGCTAATGATGCCTATCAATCACAATGACAGATCATCTCCCCCTTATCACAAAAATACACCCATAACAAAAAACACCCTGATCACCATAATCACCCAATCTCCCGAAAAGGACAAAAAGCTGTTCCCACAGCTACAAATACTCAACTATCCCACAAACTATCCCAGAACACAGACAGACTTCTAAATCCTGTCCTCTGAAGAGGCTGGCCACAGAGACTGGTGAAATGTTAGGAAGGAAAACCTCCAGAACACGGCCAAACAGCCTGAAAAACCTACAACAACCATGTAAACACTTTCTTCAAAATGAATCAAAAATTAGAGATGGAGAGATCAAAGCAACCTTAAACACAATTCTGCATTTTCTGTTTGCAAAGAATTTTACTACTTTCCATGAGATGGAAATGCTAAGCCACTAAAACAAATGGAAACTCAAATCCTAAGAAAAATTTGTTGTATTCCTAACCTTTCCCCTGTCACCATATGAATCTGCTATAACTGTATAACTGGAAAATTATTTTCCAACCAAGAGACAGGGATTAAACCAAAGACAAGCAGTACTGTCATAAAGTAGCATGAATCTGTTGATCTAAAATGATATTGAAATGTGACGTTCCAATATAAACACACTGCAGTATAGCCTAAACATTACATAATAGGTCAGCTGAATTTCCCCCCCTCTCCTCCGAAGATCTGGTTTCATAAAAACGAAGTGTCCACGTTTCTCCTGTGTTTTTTCATTCAGCTCTACAAAGGCAGTATGACTTCTCCTAGTGACATGTGTTGGGAAATCAAAGCAGCTGCAACTTTTTTGTTTTGCCATACACCTCTATGAAATCTGGAGGCATGATCAACATTAAAGTATGGATTAAGCATGTCAAAATTCAGACAGCTTCAGCAATGTTTGTGCCACACACTTTCAAAGTTTGCCTTTCAAGCTGCTTTTGTCTTGGCACTATCCTCCTAGAAATATGGGAGACCTTCCCATAGCCTCTTTAACCACTCCAAACTTTGCACTTAACAGAACTGCACCAAAGAAAAGCCACTTAAAGAACAGGAGTTAGGGTCGGCTGAAGTACTGCACTGAAAATTAGCACAGTAAGCTCTGTCCAGGCAGAAAGCAGTGTGTGTCAGAGACAGAGGAGCAAGCAGGGAGCAAAACAAAAGATGTATTTTTTCCAGGTGGTCACATTTCCCTTTCTTGGGGGCACTTTGCTATGGCCCCAAAGAACATCTTCAAGGTTTAGAGCCAAAGTACTTTTGTACTGAATACCACAACGAAGACCAAATGCTACTGTCAGAACTGAAGTATTTCAATCAAAGGCAGTTTGGCACTGGGCAGGCAGAAATGGAAAAGAGCAGCAAGCAGGTCTGTCAATCTAACCCAGATATCCTTCTAAGCTGGCGCGCGGCCTCTGGTCTTGCAAACAGAGGTCCATGAGAGGATTCTCAAGAGTTGGAAAACTGCACTGAAGAGCACAACAAGGAGTGTCTAATCATCCAATGCTACCTCATCAGGGCATCTGATGGTTTGTGATGGCACTGGAAACTCCCACTTCACAGTTGCATACATCCCTCACCCTGCCACCTCCATGGTCGTTTGCCTGAGCCTCCTGTGTGTGTGTGGGGGGGGGGAGGAAACATGAGCTGCTTCCAGGGGATTCTGATTTGCCTGAGCCTCCTGTGTGTGTGTGTGTGTGTGGGGGGGGAAACATGAGCTGCTTCCAGGGGATTCTGTACTTTTGACTCCCTTTGCTGGTCAGTTGCTTGGAATTTTTGGCCTTTCTCTTGAGCAAGAATGCTTGATGCTCCCTCCAAACATGGTTGAGTAAGCTGCTGGTGCGACAATGCCCTGGACATTTTACTGCTTCTCTTGTGCTGCCTATAGCAAACATAGTAGTAATCCTGGATGTGTTTTTCTCTCAGAATAGCTCCACATAATGTTTAATCTTTCCTGTGGTGACTCAGACAGACTCCCTGCCTTCCATCTCAGGGAGCTTCCTCTGTCATGATGATGGTGCTAGTGTTGTCTTCTGCCTATCTTTCTGCCTGCCTCCCTGTGATCCTCAGGCCCAAGTAGATCCTTCCTCTCAATAGAAATTGGCTCATTCCCAGAGTGACCATCCTGAACCCACTTCTCAATACCAGCAAAACTAAGAGCACAAGCCTTGCTGGAGAGTGAAGGCAAACCAACCTGCCTGCCTTTTAACCTGGGAGGACTCTAAGAATTTGTGTGATTGCTATGAAAATGCCTCAGATTAAACTCCTCATCACATACAGTGGTGCCTCGCTTAACGAGCGCCCCGTTTAATGATGAATCCGCATAGCAATTGAGTTTTTGCGATCGTAAAAGCGATCGCATTGCAATGTTTTAAATGGGGGGAAATCGCTTCGCGATGATCGTGGGGAAGCGCTTCCCCACGATCATCGCGAAGCGATTTCCCCCCATTTAAAACATCGCAATGCGATTGCTTTTGCAATCGCAAATACTCCATCGCTATGAGGATTCATCGTTAAACGGGGTGCTCGTTAAGCGAGGCACCACTGTATTATTTATGAATTACACTTGTGAGGAATGGTGTCTGGGCGACAGTGGGTGTAATTTTGCCTGTCAAGCAACTGAAATAACATTTGATTTTAGTAGTCATATCTACTTGGTGAGCTGGCTAAATAGCTCAGTGAGTTAGTTACCTGGTTGTGGAGCCAGAGGTTGGGAATTCCGTTTCCCACTCTGGAACAGCCAGCCTGTGTGGCCTTGGGCAAGCTGTACAGTCCCAGGATGTCCCTAGAAGAAGGGCGTGCTAAACCACTTCTGACTACTGTCTGCTTAAAAAACCCTGAAAAGGAATTGCCATAAATTAGAACTAACATGATGGCTCACAATTATTACTGTTAACAACTTTGTAGAATTCTATTTAGAGCAAAATTAAGACATCCCATGAGCAGTGCCAGCTTTACTCTATGCTGATGATACATTAATTCTATCCAGAACCCCCGTAGGGCTGAGGAGGGCACTTAAGAAGTTTGTCTCATACTGTGAATACAAATCCCTAACTATTAACTATCAGAAGACCAAGATAGTCAATTAAAATACAATTAAAATACAATTAAAATACAATTAAAATACAATTAAAATACAATTAAAATACAATTAAAATACAATTAAAATACAATTAAAATACAATTAAAATACAATTAAAATTGCCATCATTAAGACCCACAGTTAATGTTATTTCAATTAAAAGCCTTCTGTAACAGGAAGGTTTTGACCTGGCGCCGAAATATCATCAGTGTCGGCGCCAGGCGAATTTCAGTTGGGAGGGCGTTCCATAGTCTGGGGGCAGCTGCCGAGAAGGCCCTTTGTCTACAAGCCATCCCTCTTACCTCCTTGAGGGATGGCTCTTTCAAAAGGGCCCCCTGGCTAGATCTTAACAGCCGGGTAGGCTCATATGGAAGGAGGCGGTCCTTCAAGTATCCAGGGCCCAAGCCGTTTAGGGCTTTATATGTCAAAACAAGCATTCCTATGGGGTTTTTTAGCAATTATTTTTTCGGAACGGATTATTGTCGCTATGCGGGGCACCACTGTACAATGCTAAAAAAAGTTACCGTTCAAATTGTACTTTCAAACGGAGTTGCACAGTTGGCTCCTATTCAGAGGTACATGTGTACATTATCAGGTGTAAACATAAGAGTTTTCAACTACTTTTCAAGATACACTGTGGAATATTGCTAATATCATATTACTGACACTTTTCTTTCAACAGGTATAAGATTCTGGAATATTTTATGATTTCCCAGAACCTTAAAGAACAAACAGGCAAATCTAGGCAAGACATGGGCATGGATATTCCCTCTCCTCCTTCCACATGACTCCTAAGAAGAGTCTGAAAGTTTTCACTCTATTTTAAGCCACCACAGCTTGCCAGGTCCTCCAAGCCAAGTACAGTGGTGCCTCGCATAGCGAGGTTAATCCGTTCCGGATTAACCTTCGCTATAGCGAAACATTGCTGTGCGGAAATAAAAAAGCCATAGAAACGCATTGAACTTCGTTCAATGCGTTCCTATGGCTTGAAAACTCACCGCTGTGCGAGGTTCTGCCATAGCGCCGCCATTTTCGCGCCCTCGAACAAACCAACTTCAAACCACTGTTTTAAGAAGTCTGCTTGTTTTAAGACACCATGATTAAGAGTCATCAGTTCAGGATCTGGATCTCATGCACTTTAAACTTTCAATCTCTTCCTGAGACTGTATGGGTGAAGATTGTCTTTCTGACATTAAACAGTGGTTTAGCACTTCCATTACTAAGCTGGCTGGGGAACTCTCAGAGATGTAATACAAAAAAGTAATTTTTAAAAACTTTGCAAATTAAGACTGTCTGGAAGAATGGCAAGGAGAACAAAGAGTATAAATGAAGTTAAATGGATTGGAATGACTCTCGCTCAGACCAAACAAAACATATATATATATTAAAAACAGAGAAATATAATAGCTGCTTACTATGCACACATGTATGGAAATCTGGATTTCTTACATATGGTGACCCATACTTCCGAATACACCCTGAAGAACAAAACACAAAAAGCAGTATTAAGCCAGGTGCAAAATTAAAGTAATTTCTAATATCTCAATACAGAATTTTTAAAATTTTTATCACAATTCTGTGGCTCCAAAGTTCATTGCACAGTTTACAATGCTGCTTTCTAATATGGTTTCTCCACTAGAGGTTGCAAAGGTGCTGAAGCATCTTAGTACTCAGATGCTATTGCAACTCTGTGAAACAAAAGCAAAAACAGAAAGCTGAAGAATTTCATTATTGTGAATCCCCCTTCCTGCTGCACAAGGATTCTAGAATTTATGAGTTCAAAACAAATCAGTAATATAATTAGATTTTGAAAGACCAGGTCTGAGGTCTACTATTCCCAAGTGAATGTAATGTGAAACTTTACTATTTTTAGATATGGAATATCATATGAAAAAATATTCAATATTAACATGTATTTGTCCTTCTGCAGCAGGAGGGAATGTCCACTTCATGGAATTAAAAACCACATTGTAGCAAACAAAACTAGATAAGTGCTGTTTAATATATCTCTTAGATCTTTTTAGCTCAGGGAAAAATTTATGAGACACCCAGTTCTATGCACATTCCTATCAGGTAGACTGGGGCTTTTATATGTCTTGAAAAAATGGATGCACCAATGATATTCTTTAGAAATACACACGTAGATGTCAACATGCACACCGAAATAGACTCTTCGTTTACTTTTTACAAATCCCCAGCTAACTGAGTCCCTTTACAAAGTACTGTAAGCTGCTTTTAAAATTCCCTAGCTGTCTGATCCGGGTATCATGGCTACAAAGACAAAACCTCTCAAGAGAAGAGTCAGCCTGTGTAGCCTCAGGACAGATGCGCAGTCCTAGAGGGACCCCAGAAGGGAATGGTAAACCAATTCCGAGTACTGTATACCTAGAACATCCTGGAAAGGACTGCAATTACTCAGAATATAACAATAACTCACCCAAATAATTTGGATAAAAATAGTCCTGTGGGAGAAAGAAAAAGCAAACAGAATTATTGAAAAATATATTTTATCCACAGTTGCATTACTATTTTTGAAAACATGCTTATGGTTTCATAACTGAACTGAGTATTAATGCAGTCTTTTTCTGCCTCACACGGATAGAACAGAGATAAAGGATGTGACTAAACCTTGTTGAGACTTGAAATGAAGACCCCAGATTGTTTTGGTGCTAATCATACTGGCCCTCAGTTTGATGTGATTTAATACATCACCACAGCCTCCCTTTATCTGATACCGCCCACCCAGTGATCCCCAGCTATCTTTTTTTATCTTTCCCCCCATGTACAGAAGTGCTCCAATGTATCAATGCAGTGACCAGGGGATCTAGCACTAAGCTCACTAGTTTGTTCTTAAAAATAAAAATAAATACTTTCCGGATAATTATGGAGAATGATTGTGGAGCTGAATATTCCCACTGTCCCAAAACATCACGCTCCAGCTTAATACACCACCATAATGCTACCCAGTGTGATGTCCCCATCCTTTTGTAAAATGAAAGAAAAATCAGATAGAGAAAACACTGTTCAAAACATTCCAGCTTCAAAACAATTCAAATTAGTTTATTGTTCCTGCAGAGCAGATTGCACAGCATTTGTCAAGGCAATCACAGCGAAGGTATCTATTCTGCAGCATTCTGATGCTGCTCTTTATAGAGATAGAGGAACATTCACAAAGAATTGGAGAATATAAGCAAATTGCAAAGGTGGGTTAAGTTTCCCATAAAAGAGAACTCCCCCCCCCCAAAAAAAAATTGGTGCAAAATGCCCACATGCTTGAACCACAGACAGCATACAGATAGCCTAGTTTATGCTGGGAGTTCCAGCTATCCTCTTGAAAACAGTACCTTCCTATCTGGCAGAGTTGCTATAGGTTTTCCAAATCTGCCATCAGCAACGGCAGCAGGAGTGGTGGTAGCTTCAGGAAGCAGTTTCTCTTTTTCCTACTTAAATATTTCCAGGTGTGCAAGGTCTGGAACACAGACATACCAACTTGGGAAGGCTCCATTTCACACAGGAGTCAAGAACTATTCAACTAAACAATTTTGATCATTGCAAGGAAAACACATTTTTCTCAAAAAGACCATCCTACTTTCCCACACTCAACTTTACAGTGGAGACCAAATAGTGACTCAACTCAAAATTTATTGCAGACATCATTAGTTGTTTCTAAGACATGAGCCAAGAAACATGGTGCTGCAAAAAAAACAAAAAAAAAAAAACCCAAACAACTGGAATTACAGCACCACTTCACAGGTCAAGTAAGCAACAAGGTTTTAAAAAGACCTGGCTTTGAAGGAACAGAGAACAAACATATGTTGTATTCTGATGAAGGGCTCCTCGTGCTAACACTTAGAAGGCAACATGCAGTTTTCCACCTTCTTCTTAACAGATTTTCTATGGTAAGGAAATAGACAATCAACAGAGGAAAAACAAGGAAGGATTAGGAATGGTATACTATGTTATATGCAGCCCCATAAAATTCAATGAACGATGCAAGGCAACGGTGTAGACAAAAAGCCTAATCTGAAACCACTCTTAGAACCAATACCTTTATAGCAAACAAGAAGCAACAGAACATTACTTGAAATAGGTAGCCATGCTCCAAACAATACTTTTATCATACTCTACATCATGAACCACATGGTTTAATTGAAACCTTTTACCTCCCAATCACTGTTAAAACACCACTAGTGGTGGGAGATGGAACAATACAAGGAAGAACAAAGCAAATGCATTATACATTTTGCAGAAGCAAAAAGAGAGTACCTGGTGAGAAATAGGTGACACATCCACACACAGAACAATGGCAAAAATACATTGGGGTACATTTATTATTTATTCTTTTTTTCCCCACTCCACATGTGACCAATACCACACAGAACAATGGCAAAAATGCATTGGGGTACACATTTATTATTTATTTATTTTTTCCCCACTCCACATGTGACCAATACCTCTGTGTTGTGAGGGGAGGATTCCCTTTGCAAGAATCACAAAAGACAGCCACAACGGAAGTATAAATAGTATTTATTTTGCCAGGGTAATTTCTCATTTTATTAAGTCACCCTAGACTACAAGACACTATCCATTTAATCCTGAGCAGTTCTATGCCGGTCTGAAGACTTTTATCTTTGGCTTCCAATATCTGCATGACATAAATAATTTTGTTTACTTGGAGGGGCAGGCAGAGCAAGAGTTAAGCTGGAAGCAGCCTCTTTCTGCACGTGACATTTTTATTTACTCAAGCTTTCAAAGCTCTCTTGATTGGTGTTTTTGTTCAGCTTATACGTACCAAAAAGATTAATCTGGGAGGAAGAACAAATTACATCCTATAGAGGAAAGAGTTAGTTTAGGTCAAAATGCTAGCATTGTTCAAAGTTGAGCTTGCCCCGTGAAAGCACCAGATTACCTTCTTTTATGCAGAAAACAGAGCACACGGTGAGATTCAGTGGTACTACGATATGGAAATAAATGTTTACTGGCCCACATCCTTAGAAGCAAACCAGAATGAACAAAGTATAAATGTAATGCTATTTCAAAACTAGACATCAATCAACAAAACAGCATTTATAAATATCAATACAGAAAAGACACAGAATCACAAAATTATGGAGTTGGATGGGATCTCAAGAGTGTAGCCCAAGTGTCTGCCTTTCTTTTTGAAGAAGAGGAGCTTTCGGTGTCAAGGCACGACAATCTAAAGCGGCAATGGCGAACCTATGGAACGTGTGCCATAGCGGGCACGGAGAGGCCTCTCTGTGGGCACGCAAGCCATAAGCTGCTGATCGCTACCCATGGCAGCCAAATCTGAGGAGGAGGCTGCAGCCACAGTGCTAGCACCCTGACAGGTGGCCGGCCAGGATCTGGAGCAGCTGGCACTGTTGGAGGTTGGGAACAACTGAAGGCGGATCAAGAGTGGGGTCTGGAGGCACCTCTATGCCCAGGATTCCCCCTTCCACCGCCACTTCTACTGCCGCCACCTCCATTTCTGTCATTGCCCGCTGAATCTTTTTTCTCTCTCTCCCAGTTTGGGCACTCAGGCTCAAAAACGTTAGCCATCACTTATCTTAAGCATCAAACTTAGTTCTCACGAATTACACTTGGCTTCCCTTGAGTTCCCTTGATTACTCAAAGAGTGACTGGTTTGTGAGAGCCAAAGAGGAACCCATAACTTTCAAAAAGCTTGGAAAAGTTACATTTTTGGACTATAACACCCAAAATCCCCCTGCTATTATAACTATAACAGGCTTGCTAGATGCTGGATTTTAGTTTTGGCATTCCAAATGTAATGTTTCCAAGGTCTATGTTTTGCCCCATGTTTATTTCTTGGATAATAAGCAGCCTTGGAAGGGTGAAGGTAAAGCTTCCCCTTAACATTTAGTCCAGTTGTGTCCAACTCTAGGGGGCAGTGCTCATCCCTGTCTCCAAGCCATAGAGCCAGCGTTTGTCCGAAGACTGTTTCTGTGGTCACGTGGCCAGTGCGAATAGACACAGAACGCTGTTACCTTCCTGCCGAGGTGGTACCCCTTTATCTATTCGCATTTTTACATGCTTTTGAAGTGCTAGGTTGGCAGGAGCTGGGACAAGCGACCGGAGCTCACTCCGTCACGTGGATTCGATCTTATGACTGCTGGTGTTTTGACCTTCCAGCACAAAGTCTTCTGCGGTTTAACCCGCTGCGCCTTCACGTCCCTACTTGGAAGTGTAAGGGAATTCTAAATCCAAGAGTTTACACACATGGATGCTTATGAAGCCATCTATAACAAATCTGCCACAATGCAGACTGGCAAAATATATGCAAGCATAAAAAAAATTGAAACAAAAAGTGAATTCAAGCAAACCATCTAATCCACAAACTACACATGAGCCCACAACACATGAAACATGGCATACATTTGTATGTTATCAGGGAATTGTGTTAATAATGGGCACATTTTTGCTAATCTGTCTCAAGAAGAAGTGAAGAAGGTGTCCATTTTATTGACAGTGCTCATTAGTGAAAATTAATTTTCTAAATAGGTATATTGTTTTGTTAACACAGAAAGCTAGAGTGTTAAGTACTCAGATCCCAAATTAATAACACGTTAGAAGCTGCAATTACCCTTTAAAATATGTACATAGCCTTCCCTCTCAAAACCTTTCCTCTTTGCCTTGCCTGATGGCTTTCAAATGAAAATGCTATCCATTGTTGTTTTTCCTTCCTGTGGAGAAAAAAGTCACAGAGAGGAGATGCATTTTTTTAAAAAAAATGGTACAAAGTCACTCTTTTGACCTAATCTGCAGTCTCCTTATTCCACTCTCTCACCAAGAACCACCAGCCAACCAATCATTCTACTAACATTTGCACGTAATACCTACTTACAATGATTTTAATAAGGCTTTCAGGGTATGTGAGATATTTAAGAAGTGGCTTTATCATCTCTACTCCCACTCTGTGAGTTGCCATGACCAAGTGGCGATGTGAATCCAGGTTTCCTGTAACAATGAGCTAACACATCTTGAGCATTTACAACAGGAATGGGTGATAGGTAGCCCTCTAGGTATTTCTAGACTTCAACTTCCACACCACTGGCTTTTCTGGCGCAGGCTGTTGGGTTTGCAGAACTACAACTTTTGGAGGGCTACTATTTGCCCACCCATGACATATGAAACACCTCTTAAAGAGACAGTACTTCAGCATATGCTCAGAGCAGTCACCATAAGACCCAGCAGTTCTGCCCACCTCAGCCTCAGTGTTCACACTGCACCAGGTCAATCTAAGGAACAGGAGCCTTTCACATGCTTCTCAGATCACTATCCTGCTCTTCTCCTCAATCAAGTTATGTGACTGGGAAAGGCACTCCTATTTCTATCTCTCTCATTTTCTCTGCTTCCACACCACAAGCCTCTCAGGGGATGCTCTCCCCAAAGTTCAGACTAATGCTTGTGACACTTTTAAACGATATAGCTAACCTCACAGGTATCAACCAATATAACTGATGATACCCCTGTTGCACAGAGATGATGTCATCAGCAGCAGTAGATAGCTGCTAACTAAGGAATATCTGCTTTGATAGTTGTACACAACCTGTGCAAAACAGGAAATCCAAGCAGGACTCTACTTAGCAACCATCTGTGACTGCCAATTAAATCATTCTCACTACACCAGCAGAGTTACGGAATAGGATTTTGGCCAGTGGCTACAAAGGACTGACTCATGTTTGCCTCAAAGCTAGGGCACAAGATACTACAGTACAAAGTACGATACATCCACCAACAAATGTATGTACAGATGAATACAGTACTATTGTATGTACAGATGTACATGTATGTACAGATGAATACAGTACTAGAGGTAAGCCCTATCCCCAAACTACGTATGTACATAAACCTGCATGGAACTGTTCTTCCCATGCTTCTTCCACTCCATCCAATTGACAAAAGACTGGCCATTAGAGATTCAAGCATGAACATGGAAGAGGAGATGTGGCATCCAAAACCATATTCCAAATCTCCAAAACAAAATTATATATTTTTAAAAAATCCAGGCAAGCACCTATGGAAATAATACTGTACAGTACATGCTTCCCTGCATCATCCTTTTCCACTGTTTTTAGCAACAATTTAACATAACTAACCTGGGGATATACTGTAATACATTTTGCAACCTATCTTGAAACATATTTTCCCAGTTGATTATTCAAAAAGAGGTGCAAAACCATCATAATATTTATGATTTATTCATGTCCCATACAATATCAATGTGCATGTATATCTAAGATATTTGCATGTTTTCTTGGATTTTTTTTTAACATTTAGTATTAATACTAGGTCCATAATGGTACCAGTTTACTTTTCAGAGGCATTTATCTTGAGTTATTTAATAAAATTTCCTACTTAGATACTTACTATATACTTGTTTAAAGAAATGTTATAGAACTTCATTCTCTATGGTAAATAT